ACAGCAGCTGAGAATCTGGCCTTGACCATTGGCCTGAAACGCTGGATTGAAACTAGCAGAACTTCCCAGACAATTCTCCCTGATCTCTGAGAGTTCATTTTAACGTAAGATGAAAAATAGTATTAATTCATTTTAAAGATGCGATATTCTGCAGACTTAACTCCAAGGTTACACTTTTCCACTGTCTTTCAAAAATATGGCTCTATCCTTTGGAAGAACACCCTCCTTTTTCTGAATAACCAGTGAAAGCAATAACATAATGTTTTACTTTCTTGAACAGATGCCCAGTAAGTCTGTACAAGCACAAAAGTACTCGTTTGGAAAACAACGTATCTTAAAGTAGAGGGATTTTGCATTTGGGTTAGTCATCATAGTATAGATTTCTTTTGCAAAGAGACACCTTTACCTGAGTTCTCTGGTTATTCTGGAGTGTTCTGTTCATGCAAAACGTATGCAAAATTACTTATCTGTCTTTAGGGCCCATTTCGGGGAGGAAAATAATACACTGAGGTTTCCTTTCACTGACAAGAAGTGGTTGTACACTAAACATGTTTAAATTTACTTCTGAAAAAAAGGAGGTGAAAATGGCATATTTTAATATTCCAGATTTTTTATTAATATGAACTATTACTATGAGTTTAAAATACTTGACACATAAAAGCACAAAAATCTCCCACATGGAAATTAGGAACAAAACCATCTCATGAACACCTTCTATCCCACTGCAGTTTATTAATCTGAGCATGTTCGTCCGCCAGTGTCAGATGATATTTTTTTAATATTTTCCATCACTGCTAAGTTCTCATGAATACATGCAACCAGAAATCCTAACTCTTAGTTAGAAAAGAATCACAAATTCATCTATTATTCTCTGAAAATAAGAAAATACACTGGAAAAACTCTTGTATGGTATTTAAGAGTCCTTATCACCAAGAATTGCAGACAAATGGCAGGGGAAGCAGGACAAATTATGAGAGGCAGGGCACAACTTTAACTGAAAAGGTTGAAAAGCTATTGAAACTACTAGCCTTCTCCATTGAGTAGCATACATTTTTCTAGTTCCACATAATATTTCAAAACTTAATCCCTTTGGTCACCCCACTGCTTGGTCTCCTCCTGACTTCTCTTACTCCTTTGTGCACAGAAGAATGATACCTTCAACTCTTGAAGAAAGTACATTTGTAGGGCTTTCAAATGTCATGGAAACCAGACATAAATTTCAACTACTAGTCATTCTTTCATTCTCTTCTAACAATAAAGAGGCATGCAGTCACATCTTTATAGCTTAAACCTCCATCTCACCTAAAAATAAACTGAAATTTCTTGGCCCCAAGAGCAAACATAGTCTTCCTGACACAGCAACACACAGAGTCAAAAAACCCTGGCAAAGAGTTCTCCCAAACGTCTCAACCGCAAGGACAGATGAGCAAAAGAAGCATGATGCCACTTAGAATGATTTTTAACAGAGAATGAGAGACTCCTGTAAGAAACAACTGAATCTCCCACATCCTAAATTGCCACACCACCATGCCATAACCCATACATTTTTTTACAATGGAAATAGGGAAAAAGAAAGGCCGTTCCTTGTCTTGAAGATGAACTCTCTTGAGCCAAAGCAGAACTCATGTCAGAGAACTCAAACACTGTCATTCTCTGTATATGGTCTAAGCAAAGCTCTCCTGCCTGAGAGAGAGAAAAGTTACTATTGCCCTCTCTCATCACCCTTTTTTTATTTACTAACACAGAACTTCATTAAATATGAAGAAAAACATGGCAGGAGATTCTCAGTTGCAGTAAATTGCCATCCTTTCACAAGAGTCACTGGATTTCCTGTTTCACTGAAAGGAGAACATGAACATTCCAAGAATTCCAAATGCATAATAATTTCAACTTTCTATAAATCAAGGTTGCAGGTTGCAGGTGTTGAGAAGAAAGGGTTAAACCCACAAGATTTGTTAAGGAGGAAATAATTTCACTTAAAATGACCTTGCAGCTGGGAACGCTACGAATTTTGGTGTGGGGAATCTCCAGTTACTATGTCTACCGATGTTCATTCTCTGCTTGTTTAGAGAAGCAGAATTCCTGTGTGGAGATTACACACTGTCACAGACATACTTGGGCCTTCTGCTGGGAGAAGGAGTGATCATAGAAGCACAGCCTTGTGATAAACTGCTCCAGCAGGAAACCTTTGATATATTGGGGCCAGAAACAGCCCCAGCCCACTCCTGCTGTGCGCTAGGATGAACTCAGCCTAACGGAGCCTGAATCCCTGTGTGTCCCTTTTCACTAGGATAAACTGAGCCTAATGGAGCTGCGTCTCTGTGTCTCTCAGCTTCCCGGTGCTGTTAGTGAGGTGTTGAAATCAATCTGCTCTTGGCATTTCAGCTGAGGCTTCCTGGTTGCCCTGGTTACCTGTGTGTATCGATTCACACAGTAGTTCACACATTACTCAGCCTGTGTCACAGGCTCATGGTACATCCTAGGAACAAGCTGGAAAATAATGTTACCTATTTCTCTTGCCATATCTTGTACTCTTCAAGAAATGTATTCCCCTTCTTTTGTGAGAAAATAGAAAACGAAATAATTTTAAGCTATGCCATTGTTAGTTCACAGGTTCATACTAAAATTGCCAGCTCTCTCAGTAACATGTACATTCATCTAGAAATACCAAGGCATGCTACCAAATACAGGTGTAAAAAATGCTTTTGAAAGAGAAAAATGTTCTATCCCCATTATTATAATCTAGAGGTCAGGCTTGCTGCTATCCTTAACTTGAAAGCCTCAGAGAATGTGACCATATAGGCCATAAATAGCCTTCATCTTCCACAACTTTCAGCATGTCACCTAAACTGTATGGATTCTCTCAGCATTTAATGGTCTTCTTGGCTGCATCCTGCCTCCATCTCAGAGGAAGAATCTGAATATATGCCACAGTACTTGCTTCTTCCTGGAAAGGGCCTTGGACAGGTGGGCAAGTAGGAAACCACAGCGCACTCCAACGTATGGACTTTTGGGAGACCAGGACTGGTAGCACTTTATGGAACTCATTGAATTCTGAGTTTTAATTTCATTGAGAAAAAAAACAGGAAGCTAACTCAGACTGGAGACTCTTGCTGTGAAACAAAGGTAAGTCCTTACAAAATAATTCCTGCAGAAATAGCCTAAAAGCTCCTCTGGGAAGAGATCACCATTTTCCTTTACTTTGAAAAGATAATAGGCGAAAAGTGCACAAAAAGAAACTCAGGCAGGAAAAGACCTGTGCTCTTCACCACATAATACACTGTTATTTCTAGAAATGCAATCTTACAACATACATGTTGGGAAATCAGCTATTCCTGGAGCAGGATGACAGAAGTTGTCAGAAAAAGCTAAACAGTCCCTGAATAACTGTAACATTTTCCACAGGGAAGAGAAGTCTGCAAATCTGTACTGACATAAAGAGTATGTCAGAAGCACCAAGAATAAAAAGAAACTAATTATCTCCCTGATACTCTGATGCTCTTTACTTGATCTATACATAACCTAACATTTAAGCCATCAGACTGACTTTTCAAGCAGACATTTGAAACTGAAGTCAGAAATTCATGTAATCTGCGATCTTTCTCCAACTCAAGCTTGCTGATTTGGTTTTTAAACACCTTTTCTTCCTATCTAAACACACCTGCATTTAGAGAAACTGAGTAGTAGCAGTTTTTAGTTCTGACACACAGATGGATGGTCACGTTAGAGCAGCAGGAATGCTCTGAACATGGGGATTAAAAGGTGATGGATTAAAAGCCCTCAAAAATCCTGTGACTCTGCAGATCTGGTCTTGAATAGAAAGACACTTCTACAGAACCTGAGTGAGTTCTGTCCAGAGGTCAAACTGGAGAATATTCCAAATACGAGAAAACAAACTAAAATAGCTCCCTTCCTAGCTATTGCATCTATTCTTCACAGGTGCTCAGAAACCAAAAGAACCGAGTAAAATGAGCCCAGAAGCATGCTAAAACACGAGGTAGTACCTTTGAGAGGCTTTGATTTTAAAATGTATAAACTATTACATTGCAAATTCATTTACTGCAAAATGAAAAAGGACAGGACTTTAACAACCGATCATAGCAGGTACTTAAGTCTCAGAATCTTCATTTTTTTTCATTCAAAAGATATTGGATTTTGTCAATTGAAAATATTTTGCAATTTGTCAAGGTAAAATATCATTGCAGCTGTTTAAATCTTCACAAATTCAGATAGCAATTATATCTGAACTGATTGTTGAGCTGATTATTACTGATAATCTTCCTCCTCAGAAGCACTCAGGAATCAAAACCACATGCCCTGAACTACAATCTGCCATTGCTCATAAAAATAAAAATGACTGCGTTTAGAGAGATTTTAAGGGAGAAAAAGCACTGCATGTTCCACCGTTCTGGGAATATGTGACAGGCAGAAACTTATGATGCCTTAACCAGTGGCTAAAGCTGATTTACAACCAGCAGAGCTTCAATTTAATTCCAAATGAATCGGAAGCATTTGACACACACAGAGGAAAAAAACCTGAAACCTCAGAACAGAAGAACTTTCTGAGCGTTTCAGTGCTGTCTTCACTGCTCTGTCAGGCAAAGATCCAGAGCCCTTGACACAGAGACAGCTTGAATTTTCGCCCATAGAACATACAGATGGCTCCTGTGCTGCTCAAATGGTCTCAAGGTAGAAACAGTGTTAAGAGTGGGGGCAGGAACTGGGAACCCCTGGCTTGGTTCTTTTTTGTTTTACTGTGCCCTTAGCTGTTTTGTTTCCTTCTGCTTCTCTAAGCTTAAAGAAGTTTGCCTTATGTGACAGGTGACTGTATTTTAAACAGAGGATTTTTTCTTTGTTGGGTTTTCTTCAGAAATAAGGCTTCAAATAGCTTGTGACGAAGGAAGGTCAGGAAATATACAGCCATAAAGTTTTTTGGAATTTCCCATTTTAAAAGTTATATGTCATGTTACACTTTCTTAGAAAACTGGAAGAATACTTACTGTCAATCCTTGTTCTCCTGGTTTTCCTGGCTCACCCTTTGAATAAAAAAAAGGAGTGAATAATTTCAGCAACATAACTTGAATCCAGTTTTCTATCTAGTAATAAAGTATCTTAAAAACTTAATTCTTCAACAGGTATGGCAGCTACTACTTCACAATCATGTAATGGCATAGTTCTCAAGGCAAGAATTAAGTATTGGTGTTCAGACTGCCCCTTGGTTCCAAACATAATATTCCACTCCACTGTGCTAAAGGACACACGGAAAGGTTATTTCCCCATATGTGCTGTATCCCAGTTTATATATTCCAAGATTACTGGTCTGTGTCATCACCTCAGCCAGCAGGCATAACTTAACTGTTGTCAATTACCATGTTCCATAAATCCATGAATATTGGTATTTTGAAGTCATGAAATAATTCCTCAGCTCTTAAATACCTAGACTGACTTTCAAACTGGTAACCCATCATTTCTCCAATGTATTCTCTTTCTGTGGACATCACTCTACATACAGTCAGAATATATCTTCTCCCCTTTCTTTCCATATGAACACATACATCTGTCTGTAGAGACAGTAAAAATCAATGTATGACGTATCAGTCATACAATACCAGCTAAAAATACCCATCCAAAAAAACCAGAGCTCCTATCATTTTAGTGCTCTGGTTTATACATCACTGCCTTAAAAAGCCAACTGAATACAAGGCAGTCCATACACTATTGTATCAGCACAGATGCAGGGTCTTCTTCAGCAGCTTCATCATAAAAGAAAGCCTGTCATAAAATTGATGAGAACTGCTCTGACGTCGTTGTTCCTGGCAACTGAAAAGAATCAGAACTGCTTCTCTGGCTATGCGTGCACTGCACTCAGAAGCAAACATGCAGCATCTGCAAACACACCAAGGACAGCTGGGAGAAAGAAGCCATGGAGGCACAGATTTCTGGCTGGCCACTGCCCCAAAACACCATTTTACAGCTGTGGTGATAGTAAACCTTCTGCTTGAGAAGGACAGGCTGGAAGAGAAGCTTTGCTTTATACAACCCTGCAAAAGAGGCAATGTCTGCCTAATGGTCATTGGTCACTCTAAGGACATCCTCCTGTAGCTGTGTGACACTGCAACATCCCAACTCATAGCACAGTGCAGCTGCTGTTTTCAGCTTATGAGCTCAAAGTTCCACACACATCTTTACCTCAAAGACAGCTGCCCTTCCCTCTCAGCTGAGTTTTCCATTTACAGCTCTCCTATTTGACTGTGTATCTCACAGCCATTGGGGAACAAGCCTTCTGAGGATCAGCAACATTAAGCTGAGGGTACAGAACTGCTGTGAGGGACAGCAGACTGGATGGTTTCTACCTGAGTGCATGCTTGTATCTGATTCTAAAGCAGTATTATGAACTGATTTTCCATAATGTTATAGGGCTTAAGATAGCCACAGCTTAAAAACTATAAAAGGAAACTCTCTCTTGCCATCTAAAGTCAAAATCATTACAGAACTATTATAAAATGGAATGACCTCATTGCATAAAACGCATGACTTTCCTGTTATGAGAAACACTAATGATCCCTTTGCTAAAAAGTACAAAGCAACATGCAGCCACACTGTAATCAGCAAGACCAGCTGATTCTGCCAGCCCCATCTATGTATGTGAGTTATTAAAACACTATCATTGCAGTCAGAAATGGATTCTGGTTTCAGTCTTGCCCTTACTAGATCAAACCAGCACCAACTCTGCTGGCCACAGTCCCTTTAACAACAATAAAAGAATACAAGGCAGACCCAGAAGAGGCTCAGAGCCTGACGTGCCACAGGACTAACAAGAAATGAGAAGGTTGCCAAAGTAAAGCATCATGAGAGCTACAGACTTTTAATGGCATTTCATAACCTTGAGCTAGAATTTGAGGGCAGGAGTGGTAAAAAACCCAAGCCAAAACAACAACAGCAGCAGCAGCCCTATAGTCCAGAAGTCTCAACTGGTCAGCTTTGCTGGATTTTCAAAGGAAATTTTAGCAGCATCTTCCTATTATCATGCTTTATTACATTTAGGCAATTAATACCTGAATAGGGTTACAACAGGAGTGTAGATATTTTCTTTCTTGGTTTTAGGTAGAAAGGCCCTGCAGGAAAAGTGTATGTCATCCTGGCCTCGTGTGACAAGTGATGCTTTCTCTTCAAGAAACCAGTTTCTGTTGCCAGTGCTGGTCCTCACCTGGCTGGTTACCCATGTGTCTTCTTGGCCACAATCTTCACTTTTCATGGATGTGAACGTGTGTGTGCATCTCTACATGTGCCATTTCATTTTTCATGTTTCTCTCCTGTCTGATTCCATTTCCACACTGATAACACAGTGGCATTCATGGTGGAAAGCAAGATATTTCTTTCAAAGGAATAAAAATTAAGGAGGCCACAAAATATAAAACCAAAATCAAGCACATACTTTTCTAAAAAGTCATGTGTTTAGGCATCTGTTTAAAAAGTGTGGAATTCCTCCTGTGCCTGAAACAAACAATATATAACATACTGAAGTCTGCTTCTTGTCCTAATGAAATACGGGGTCTGAGCCACAGAAAATGGTACTGCTCTTCTTGTTTAAAGATTGCAGAATCTAACTCCAAACCATCATACCTTGGGCAGCTTTAGCAGTTTATTACTTTATTCCATGACTTTTGAGGTTAAACCACTAAGAAGTGAGAAGTCAAGAACATCCATGCTACGAGGCCTCAGATTCAGTTCTATCTTGAAGTTTGAATAGAAACATTTATTATTTGTGGAAAGGGGCAGACTCTCCTCAGCTATTAAATGTCAGTGAGCGACTGAGAAACCTTAGAAAGTGTAGGGAAACTGCCAGGGGTGGGAGGCAAGGAACCTCGCTGTTACTTCTGGCCCTGCTATAGACTTGTTCTGTGTGTCTGTAACTTCAAGTACACCTTGAAATCTGCCTGTGGTTCAGCTTCCACAAGTCTTACTTGCCAATCTTACCTCAGAAAATGTCTTTGACACTACGTTGGTATACACTTCAGAGAAATGTGAACAGCAAAGCAGCAGCAGAGTAACTCACCGTTAAGCCAGGCATCCCACGAGGACCATCTTTGCCAGTATCTCCTGGGGGACCTCTGGGTCCTGGTGGCCCTGGAGGTCCAGGGGGTCCAGCTTGTCCTTGGTCCCCCTAAACCAATAAAAACCTCATCACAAATTTGCTTTAGAGGCATCAACCACATAAAACACATCAATTCACCCACAAAGAGTGCAAGACAGCCTGGAAGAAGCTGCCATGAACTGGACAGTGGCTTCTTCACTGCTTATGGCAGAAACAGCACTTTGCCTTGAAGACCAACAGTTTGTATCTGCCTGGTGCAATCAGCTGTAGAGCAGAAGGTTCAGATTCTAATCTGCTTGTTTTACCACAGCACATATGCTAAAATTTGGGATGGTCTTGAAATATTTTATTCATCTAGGTCTCCAGAGCAAGTGACTGTTTTTGATATGCATCTGTTTGCTTCATGATTTGCATAATCATAAGAACACTGAGGCGGAAAAGAAAAGTCGCATCTGAGAATAAACAGATTTGCACAGTAATTTTCCAAGCCCATGAATAATACATGGATAGATTTCAAAATTGAGCATGGAAAGTAACTGCTTCTTCATGAAGTTGTATATAATTTTCCATCTGTTTTGGGAGGCTGCTTTATAGCAACAATTAGCTAACTCTCTTCATTTTTACCTATTAATTTTTAAAAGTCAATTTTTCAAGAAAGTTGTCAAAACATATTACCCTCCCCTCTAAAAAAGAAAAGACACCCCAAAATGGTGCTGCAGTTATTTCCAGCACATCACTGCAAACCCCTGGAAAAAGCTGCTGGCATCTCAAACGTCGATCACTTAGCAAAGCCACCCATTGTCCTTTAACTGTTAATACCATTAACAGCTGCTTCATTTCGAAGTATTTTCAGAACAACCTGCTATAAAAAGGCATCTGACAAAAAGGTACAGCAAAGAGTAAACTGAATGTAAAGAAGAACCAGACTCCAGTGAGATGGAGCACTACCTTAATGAGGCGGCGTTTAATGAGCTGCTGATCAGCAGAGAGAAACCCATGATTGATTTTAGGAAACACCATCTGATCAGGCAGGTGAGGTCAAAGGTTGAAGATCAGAGATGAGAGAATTGAAGAATAGACATCAGAAGGCCCGAGAAAGAAATAAAGACATATTCATTAGATTTGTAATAGCTAATATAATATGAACTGATGCTTCTGCCTGAAAGAAACTGTGCATTTTCTTTTGGAGAAAGATTACCTCTACTGTACAGGACATACTGCTATGATTTAAATCATATACAATGACTTAAATGTGTAACTGTTGTCTCCCCAGATTTTGCATGAGAATTCTGCATGTGCATTAGTTTTCTCATTACCTGGGCTCTAAAAATCAGTATTTTTACATGTTGCTCTTTCAGCAAAGCTTCTAGAGACAAAGCACCAGTTCAGCTTTCAGTCAGATTTTCTAACCAGCATAGTGTGCCATGAAGAATGGGGTTATTTTTATAAGGTCTGAAGTTCCAGCTTGACCAGATTGCTTCCTGCTTAATTTGCAAATCCACTTTGAAAAAATCTGGATGTACAGATTAAATTTCTGATATCTAACACAAATATTTGACTCTACATGTAACCAGTATAGAGTTCACTGACATTTTCCACACTCATGTATGCCTCAGGGAAGCAGAACAACAGAAAAAACTAATGTGAAAATACAAAACTGACCCAGACCATGGGGAATGTAGGCATTACCAGGGGTACACAGTTATAGATTCGATTCCATGCTCTGCATCAGGAGTACTTAGATCAATGCAAAGGCAGTGAGGGTTGGCTTAGGCCCACCATAAGAATACACTGGCATTCCATGTTAAAAACAATTTTTCATGTGCACTTTTATGCTGATACAGAGAGACCTGACTGAACAGGTACATGTCAGCCACAAACCTTGACGGTGAGGATCTGATTACTGTGCAGAGCAGCAACTGTGGGGAAGCCTGGCAGACCCTAGGGACACAGCATAACATGGTACGAGAACAGCACGACACAAACATCACAGAGACAATTTACTAACAGACAAACAGAACAAACACTACGTTTAGTACACCCCACACTGCCAACGGACAGGAAACAGCCTCTCTGTCATATGGGAAACAGAGCTAGATCTGCACTGCACTGCAGATGCAAGTTGATGTTTCACAACGAGAATATCAAGAGATTTTAGAAGGAACATCCCATGATGGTGTCGTTCCTTAAAGTTGCAATAAATTGTTATGATCATTTGAAAGTTGTTAAGACTATCAGCAAGCAGATGATGAGCCATTTTCAATTGAAATGTTCTACATCACTTCAAGAGATCTGTGTAGAAAGCCTTGACTCTGGACTGCTGCAGAACTCAACAGTATTGACAGTATACTCTGCAGTGCTTTGCATAATTAATATCCTGCTCCTCACATTCTGTTTAACATATGACATTCAGCACATAAACTGGTAGCACGTACACAACTATGAACACTGAACATAAATCTACTGCTAGATCTTGGGTAGTCCGTGACGGCCATAATCAAAGTTCTCAAGACATACATAGCAGTATTTTCACATCCATTTTTACCCCTCAATTGCTGTATGCCACATGTGGTTTCTCATATTCTACTCTACCAAGATGTGCAGAACTTGTACTGTACTGGCACAGAAAGGGAAGAGTGTGGTGATTGTGGCCTGCTGTCACAATATAAGGAGGTGAATTTTTGCTCTCAGTTCACCTTTCTTGAGCTGCCTAGTAGGGTGTGAATTAAACCTTCTAATAAAGCCAAAACCTATGCAGTTGAGCAGTGAATTCCTAAAGAGGAGGAAATCCCTAAGTCCTCTCCTTGCCTTTAGCACAGCACATTGTCAGAAGACAAGGCTTGTTCAATGGCAGAGAGGCACTAGGCTGAGGAACATTAAATAAAATACAGCCAGGGAGCTCTAAGCCCCCTCTATGCCCACAGACCACCTTTATGAGTTAGAGCTGGTAGCACAGCCCTTCTGGGGGCTCCTCCTGGAGCAAACAGCTGCATCATGCCAGCTCAGCACCTCCTAAAGGGAAGGCTGTGCCCTGCTCTTGCTGCCAGGCAAGGGCCCTTCTGAGGAGCCCTGTGTGCAGGCTCTGCTGGCACAGCCCATGTTGCTGTAGCACATGAGCTCTTTACAGCCCAGTTGGCCTGGTGGGGAGCACCAACAGGCCAGGGCAGCCTGCCAGCTGCAGAAAACTCTTTTAATGTGGCAAATACTTGCACTGTTCATCACACCAGAGAGCCCGTGGATCACGAAGACTGCACCAGTCTTTATAAAAAAGGCAGAGTAACTTTTTGATGCATTAGCATCTTGGAGTTGCATTTAGCATCTTTATTCCTGCTATACATCCAAGAGATGAAGCTGAGACCCTGTAAGTTGATCCCATAAAGCCAGTGGCTAAATGCAGCTTTCCCACTTCATTAGGATGAACTGTAGTGTGGCTAACTGCATTACTCAGTGACCTGAAATCTCCTCTTTAGAAACAAAACTCAAAACAAAAACTCAAAACAAAACCAAAAAAGGCTAAAACTCACAACATATAAAGGGACTCGTTCCTGAGACACTGATAAGACTGGAATGATACATCATTTAGGAAACAGATGTATCAAGTTTGCATTTATCTTATTATGGAATATAAATTAAAGAAGTTATTAGATAGTAATGTGTCAGAATCTTTACATCTGTGACTCATTAGCCCTGCTGTGCAGATGATCCATTTCTCCTCTAGATAAAACCACAATATCCATGTAATGGAAATGAGCTCAAACAAGAAACCTACATAAGAAGTAAAATCTGAATAGCAAGCAATAAATGATATTTATTGAAAAAATGGATAAACAGAAAATTTTTAAACAACTTCATTTTTATTCATGAGCCTTTAGAATTACAGCACAATAATTTTCAGTTACCTCTAAATTAGCATATTCACAATTTGATGTTTTAAACTCATATTAATTTTGATTTATTTCATCTGCAACATGAAGGAGAACTGAGAATTAATTAAGAAAGGCGCTTATTGAGAAAATATAGTGGTTTGTCATGAAAGATTTTCTTTTTCCTTGAGAAAAAATGAAAGACTTTGGAAAGATCTGTCTAGCTGTACATAGAACCATTTACATTCAGCAATTCACAGTCCAGCCCCAGCATTCCCAAAGCTTCCCAACACCACACAGGCAAGTTCAAGATTAGCTATCAGTACTGCAGTTTTCTGCCTACATAAACAACACTTGAGAAAAGGGTCAATCCCATTCTCCCATCTGCATCTTAGTTACCTCTTCCAGCTTGTTCCCAAGTAGGACAAAGCTTTCCTTCCTTTGCCCAAAGTGGTCATAATCTTAGACCTAACAGTTGTGGAGACCTTGAAAGGCACTCTCAGTTAGAAAGATACGAGAGGTCTCTCCCTCAACTATCTCTTTTTGATAACAAACCCTGTTCTGACAGGTCAGAACAATCCCTGTCTTAGGACCTTAGGTCAGACCCGTGCCCTCTCCCTGTCCATCAGCCTTTCGGTCACTCAGACCCTGTTTCCCTGTTGGCCCCCATGCCCTAATCCCATCCTTGTAACACCCCCATGGCCTCTGGTAATTAGTCTATGATACTTCCCCTGCCCCAAAACCCCCATGTACTTAACCTGAACTCTCAGACCAATGCCTTTGCCTTTGCACAATGGACTGTGCACACATGTGGCTGAAATAAACATCTCTGTGAAACCCCTGCAAAGGCCCTTCCTGCTTTTTTACCTGCTTCACCTCAACAACGACTCCAGCAACACCAGTCAGATACATGCAATGCCAGTTTGGACCTGGATCATCTCCCCATGAGTAACACGTATCTTTGGAGAGAGCCAGAAACATGGGAACACTAAATGGAACCCAGCAAGGACACTACAATAGATCCATAGTTTTTGCATGTGTGGGAGGCTTTAGAAGGCATTGCACCCACTGGCATCCATGAAAGATAATGTTGGCACACAATGAGCTTCTAAAAAGGCATAAAAAGAGCTACCCTTCCCACAAAATGAGTTCTCTTCCTTTCCTGTCACTCTGCTATAAATATAACCACAAATATCCCCGGATCTGTTTTATTTTTTCCCTATCGAAAGCTGTTCTGAACAACGGATTCAAAGTTACTCAATTTTCTCTTTATTTGGTTTGATTCTTGAACTGCGCATAGGAAGGGTTCTTGTTCTACACCCTGGGAGGCCCTAACAGAATACAAAACACTACAGTCATCAACAGCGACCACTAGTCTACTAAATTCCTCTGCTGACAGCTACTCAAGCTCACCCTGAAATGCTAGCTGGCTACAATTTCTAAATTAGCACAGTTGCTGCATGCCTCACTGCCATTTTTGCTCAAATGCCAAGCAAAACACGATGCTTGATGGAGGCCAACAGCCATGGGACAACATTACCCACCTGGAAGCACAGGTAAAGCCTATTGCCCCATACAGTGGCTGCTGAGAAAACCGAGGGATGCCAGAACAACGCATCATTCCCTGTCTGATTTTTTTTTACTTGGATGAAATAGTTCTCCTGTTACATTCATCACAGCCTTGAAGGATGCAATTCCCACTAGCTGTCCTAGATTTTTCACAGTACTCTCAGCTTTGTCCATTGGTCCACATGAGGTCAATATTATAAGGTCATCATAACCTTGTCAGAGGCAAGTATGATAATGTTAAGCAACAGTGTTACCGGTTTTACACTGTGCTGCATTCACTCCAGTTTGCCTACTGCATTTGCTCAGTATAGTAAATGTCACAGTCCTCTCTAGGATTTTCCTTCTGACCTGCCAATAAACCCAAGCTGCACAAGCTTGCATGCTCCTGTGAAGACATGGTAAATGAGACAAGAATTACCACCTGCTGTTCTCTTGCACTTCCTATGGTTACAGCCAGCTGCTGCTATTTCACATCAAATCACACAGGCTTCAGGCCAGAGTGATCCTGACACTCTTTATGGCTGCTCTGCCTCTCTCCAACACTACCTCCAGTTCTAATTAATCCCTCAGATTGAGTGCCAGTCCTGT